AGCCGTCCTGCTCCATGGAAGCTCCGTACTGCAGCAACATCCGCATGATCTCTAGGCTGCCCGACTCCGCACAGTCGTGAAGGGCCGTGTTGCCTGTGAACAGAGACGACACACGTCTTACAATAAGGGCACGGATTGTGTCATTTATATCCAATCAGACACAAAGACAGTGTTACCTCAGAGGCAGGAATTTGTACAGTGCTGTGTTTTATCTTCTTGAAAGTTCGTTTTTGATATTTTTTGGTAACCTTTCTGCTGAGTTTAAAACATATTCAGTGAGGAGATGACCTGATATTAGAGTTGTTGTTGTAGTGGATAGCACCATTTATCCACCCAGTGCTTATCGACTCAGGTGACATGCGTCTTGCTCACAGTGTGTGCCAGTAATAATCTCACAATCACACCCACTCAGATTTAATATCACGCGACGTCCGGGACAACTTTATGGGGAAATGAGCTGATTAGAAAATTCAAAGTGGGAGGCGTGCGGCCAACCTGGGCCGATATAGTCTGACAAAGTTTACAATGATTCATAAAATTCCTCCCCACGCTGTGCAAGTGTTTTGAAACAACCTTTGACTTGTTTGCTTTCACTTGGTGGGTGTGTCACGATGTAGGTGAAACCTTGCGAGGCTGTGATTTACAGTGTGGCAGCACAAATAACCATCCAAACAGAATGGATCACGTTTCGAACTATGTGTGAGCATGTGTATTCACGTCATGATAATTCCTCATCAAGAATGCACAACAAGAAAATTGTAATGCCCCGGATATTTTTGTGTTTTCCAGAGACCCCAACATGACTATTTTCACTATTACTGTGTTTAGAGATGTCAAGGCTATGAGAATGACTTACATGTTGGTAAAAATGTGCTGCACGGTTTGGAAGTAGAATATTACGATGTCAAGTCCTCCAACTTTAAAAGTAGGTCATTCAGCAAATATGGTTTAAATTTCAACAAAAACCTGGATAAAGGGGGAAAAAAAAACAGCCAGCTGCTTCCTCTACATAAATAAAGTTCCATTGAAAAAGCACGGATAAAAGTAAAGGCTTTCAAGTAAATAAATTCACACTTGCCATATCTGGCAGTCACAACACCTTATGTTCATTCTTACTTTCCTCCTCTTTTCAGAATAACACCTCAGTGTCATGCTGCGTTTGCTTCCCTCCGATCTCTACAGACTGAGGCTAATCCATATCCGAGCAGACAAGACCAAACAGGGTTAGTTAGGGATTACCCATTATATATACACTCTTCGCTTTCTGCCAAAAACTACACTAATCAGATTCGGTTTTGATCCGTGCCAACTCTTGACAAAGAAAACTTCGGCAACACTGCAGCTTTTCCTCACTTAATTAAAGAAGGACAAGGCAAAGCAGGGTTACCGATGCAGAAAAATGGTTTGGCGCTGATGTTATGGTGTCGCATGATTAAATGCATTTTTACAATCAATGCTTTAACGTGTTTCAGGTATCAGAAACACAATCATCACGTGCTGCCATGAGTTAACCTAAAAACCTGCTGACACCGAAAGTGACACAGTTTCTTGGGGGGAAAATGGAAATGTGTTGAGCTTTTGATTGTCTGGATGATAAACTCGTTTCCCCAAACAAAACAAGTTAACCTGAAACTCAGGAATCCCTTCCAAATGCGGGGATTAGTCTGAATACTCTTCATAGGCCTCTTAACAGAATTTAGGCTACCTAAAGCACACACAAGGCGGGCGTCGAGCTATCAGGTACTGACGAGAGTTGCCAAACTTCTTCAAGCAGTTCAGTCAGCGGATTCTTCCGTCATGACTATTTTTCAACCAACTTGCTTGCCTTCCTCCATCAACACAAAGTCCATTGTTTTTGAAAAATGTCCCGCTTCACATCTAATATTACACACTCACTCCCTCGTGTTGATTCAGCTGTTATGTGGAAGGCAACAGTCTGAAGGATAGGCTTTAAAGAGTGCTTTCCACCTTAATCATCGCTCAGGCAGACTCACGTACTGGTTTGTGCACAAAGAAGCACACGCGTCCTGCTCTTGAAGTGGCCACGAGGACATGAATCCATTTGGTGTCGACAACAAATTAGCTGAAGCTGGGCTCATTAGGCAAGCTAAGGATAAGCTGCAACAGTTTGATCAATGATGTGTAGGAGGTGGGGACTCAGATATGCCAATCGAATGCATGTGCGTATTTGACTGCGTCGTGTAGAAGGTTTTACACAGATACCACACAATAGAGTCACATTGGGAATGTATGATCAGCTGGAAGACACTGAGCATACACATGTTTAGAGGAGACTCTAGTGTGCGAGGGTTTTCTAAGGACATCTTGATAGTTTTTTTTGGGTCTCTTTTGAAATTTACTAGAAAAAAAAACCCTTGAATGCAAGCCAACCAACAGCTGCTGTGGTCCACAAAGAGATGAACGCACATTTTCCAGCCATCTTACAAATTAGCCGTACACAAAATAACCTTACAACACTTGAATACTTTCCTTTTCAAATCATCTGTGAAACTAAAAATAACCCAAAGACAAATGGACACTGGTTTTCCTGCATTTGTAAACCGCCATCTAAAGCAGATAATATGATCTTTCAGACACACCCAGACTGACACGTCCAAGGTGACGTAGGCAACTTTCAGCTTTGACTGTGAAACCAGAAGTTCATGATACTCTGTTGAGTCATTTCAGACAGAAAAATGCTTGACTGATGTCATATTGTCTTTCCTAGGTAGTGATAGCAAAGTGTACAATGAGATGTCTTCATGTGTATAATTGCGTAAAAGTGTTTCACCTGGTTAAAATATAATCCTGATTGATGCTAGGATTTTTCACAGAAACAACTTGCTATGAGATCAGTTACATTTATCAATCATCTGTCACACACAGACACCTTATTGTACACTCAATCCAGTGCATGTCACTCACCTTTCACGCTTTTCCTGTTGACATCTGCTCCCTTCTCCAGCAGGTACTGCGCTATCTCCTTGTGGCCCTTGTAGCAGGAGATCATGAGACACGTGTGGCCGTGTCTGTTGGCCACTTCCAGGTCAGCTTTATGCTCCACCAGGTACTTTACAATGTCTAGGTGGCCGTCAAAGCAGGCTGCCCTCAGGGGTGTCGAGTTGGTGAGGGTCGTGCTGTTGACAGAAGCTCCGTGACCCAGGAGGGACTGGACCACCTTCAGGTGACCCGCCGCAGAGGCAGCCCAGAGAGGCGGCGCTCCCTCGATGGTCTCCCCGTCAAAGTTCACCGAACCACCGACCTCGACCGGAGCACTGCAGCACTCCAGCAGGTACTCCACCAGGTCCAGGTGGCCGTACCGGGAGGCCATCAGGAGCGGAGTGGCTCCGTTTGTTTTCTCGCCCATTAACTTGGTCACCTCGTGTCCATCTTTGTTCTCCAACAATTTCTGAAGCAGCCGGAGCTTACCGTCCCTGGCTGCGTTGAACACTGCTGTCTTTAAATCCATCTCTAAGAGTTAGTATCACTGTGTAAAAAAAACGTAACTATATCCGTGAAACAACGGATCAGTCGAGGTGTAGTTCAGCTGTGGGCAGGTGGAGCTCGGGACCCTTTGTTTACAACCAGCTCCGACTTTCTAGCTAAACCAATTAGCTAGCGGTGTTTTAGGTTAAAAGCCCAGGGCAAGACGTGACTTTCTAAACTTCAGCCTTCTCAAGTTGGCATCACAGGTCGGTTTTTGTGAATCTTTAACTCTAGTAAAAACTCAGACGTTTGAGACGACCCTTGGTCCAGTAATACATTTGTCGCCGAGTTAGCAAGGTGGCTAGTCAACTTCCTCGATCAATGTAGCTAACCGACTAGCTTCGCTTAGCTGAACTACTTTTCACCTCTTTATTGATCGCTCCACCGACACTCGTCCGCCGACACTTCTTCCCCTCCGAGGAGCTCTCCTTCATTAGATCTGTCTCCTTCGCGTGTCATTGTTCCACAACATAACGTTGCTCCTGAGACGTTATTTATATTCGCTTTCCGAGGGCCGAGATGTTGGAATCCACCCCCACCCGTTACGCCGTGCTGCTGCTGCTGCTAGCTTAGCCTGGAAAAACGACGTTCGCTCTGTTGTTCAGCCAAACGAGCAGGGGATATCCCCGATATCCAAGCCGCGTTTCTCTCACATACAAACAAACGGCAGGCGTTTTCCCCCCAAAACGGCGAGCAATAGTCGTCCGTGTAGCCACTCTGCAAGCTGGCACGACCGTAATCTCACCGAAGGAGAAGGTAAATAGGGAAGGCTAACCACCCACGGCTCGACCGGATGATCACGACTCAGTTTCTGTCAAATCACAAACCCAACGCAGCCTTTTTTTCTCCACTGGGGCGAATGATTGACGGGTGGGCCGTCCAATCACAGAGCTGCTCGCTGGTTGGCCAGCCAATAGGAAACAGCGAAGGGATAAAAAGCTTCTGCATAAGCAGCTGGGACTTTTCTTTATGGAAAAAGTAACAAGCACAGAAAGAGAAGTCAACGTCAAAAGGAAGATTAAAATACATCCTTTGTATCTGCTGGATTAATGTTTTGAAATTTTGCATGGGTGCAAAGCTGACTGTGACGGCTTTGATTATATCACTCCCTACAGGATAAAAGAAGCATGACCAGGAGTTTCCAGAAACTTCATGATAGGAAGAAATATGTTCCATTAGAATCTGAATTTTATTGGTTCAGCTTGAATAATTATATTACAAAAAATTATTTGAATCACATATAATGAAACTGAATTTGCCAGACTACAGTTCAGGTCGGTTGCTCTGATTTGATCAGAACTAAAAATGAAACTATACTTCCACAGTCACTTTTCAAAATTTAGATTCAACAATTATCACTCAAATTCAGTTTTAATCATTCAAATTCAATCCTCTAGTGTAACTACTCAAGTTAAGCACTGCAAAATCTAAAATAAAGGATTCAAAAAGTTTCTCGGGGCATACATTCCTGCTGAAAATCCTATTTATTAATGATTAAATAAATCCAAGCGTCCACATTTAAACAGAGAGTTTATTCAGCTATCCCAATAACTTAACAAGTTCCCACGATGCCTCGGAGCTGAATTTGTGTCCTAGCGTGACCCGACTTTAAAGGAAATACCAACGTGGCACCACATATCAAAACTGACAAGAAACACATGGTGAGCGGAGGAAGAGTAATGATAAATGAAGCAGAAGCCAAATCAGAAATAATACATGGCAAAAATAATAAAGCTTTTAGTAGTTTTTAATACAGTCTCATGAGTCACTTGTGACCATGTCCAACAGAATTGAACGGTATAATCAAGAACGGGTTGAGTTTTTGGTCTTTTTCATTGTGTTAGGTGTAAAAGTTTGTCATAAATATAAAAAAATAAACCTCAAACAATTGAAAAATGTTTTCTAGTGTTGCCTGGAACTGATCTGATCTCAGCCACATTCGCTGATGTTATGCACAGTTAAAATTCTACAGCATGAATGTCAAATGGCTCGAAGATACTCAGGTATTTCTTGTTTCTTCACTATCTTTAAGGAAAACCAAATCTACAGTCAGATGTGATTTGTAAATCAGATAAAGACTGAGCCCTGTGACTCTCGGCTGAAGCAACACTACTTAGTTGAACAAACCTGAAACTACTACTTGTGGCCTACAACAGAGCTATAAACATGTAGTGAGAATTTTAACATTGCATGTTTAGAATCATTGCAAAATGAATCCGATTATTTAAAAAAAAAAAGAAAGAAAGAAAGAAACTGCAAGAACCAGTAATGTTAGTTAGAATTCTTCCTTCCTGTTCCTTTTGAAAATAAACTGAGCAATCAGTGAGATCAAAACACCAAATTACAATTACAACTCAGTTACTAGAACTATAGTATATTCAAGCAATATTTTGCAACGCAAAATGAGTTTTACAACAGTGCTGTAGAAAACCAAAAGGTGTCGCTCCACAAGATAAATAAGTTGTCACACTTCAAACAGCGAAGGCAGAGCTATGTATAACATTGCAATGGAACCAGAGAAAGACAAAGATGTTAGAAGCTGGTGCATTAAAAACTGATGGCATTGCCATGTAGCACACAAAATGTCACTGTCAAATACAAGAATATTAGTTTTTTTTTTTTGCTTATCTCCCATAGAGTCACACAAATGTAATAAAGAACTTCCAGACCTTTACTTTTTATATCACAATTCACCTTGGAGTGGTCAATTGAACCTTTACCCAAATTAATAACAATGCAGAGGAAATGGAATCAAAAATAACACAACAAATTGACTAATTTTTTAAGGAATTGGGTTTGTAGTCACTCAGCATTGCGACTTCAATCCTTCAGCCCAAATACAATCTTCTGAAAGCTAACATTGATTAAAGGATGGGTTACTCTCTGCATAGCATACTCCTTTCTAATACCTCATCTAAAATGACAAAGCTGATAAAAGCAAACACAGTATCTACGATTTCTCACTTCATACAGTGAGGTTTAATAACAAACAAAAATGCAACAGATTTTTCATAACCAAATACAACCTCCATGGAGAAGCACCCTTTGCATTGTAAGTGTGGCTTTAGAGCCCCAGATAAGGACAAATATCCGCAGCATCCAACATTACATTTAATCACAACTTCCACTCCCTTGGTTTTTTTCAGAGCACAGTTAGGGATGAAAACATGGAACAGATCAGGAAGAGGGTACGAGATTACAGGAACAGAAAAAGACACAAATAAAATAAGAACACGCCTAGAAATCATTCCAAATATTCAAATTACCTAAGGGTTGCTTTAACCATATGACCAGTGCTCAAACTGCCTCAAATACAGATAGTTACAAGCCTTCTCTCCGTTTTTCTCTTTTATACCTCAAAAACATTTTAAACACACAGCCTTTCCCTCAAGACTAATTTGCATAAAGTTTATAAGAGCAGCAGTGCTGAATGAGGATGACGTGTCAGATTGTACGACCTGGCAGTTTGATATGATCCACTTTCACACCAGCGCTGCTGTTCTTAAACACTCTATGCTCAAAAGCCTAGGTGCAGATAAAGAAAGTGATGAATCAGATCCCGGAGGTCAGAGACTGTTATGATCCGACACGTGTTGTAGTGGTCTTTTTGTCAGAGAAGAAGCTTCTCAGCAGGACCACCTGGCTGATGCTGACCACCAGAAGGATAATGGCTTCTCCAATGGACCAGAACGCAACGCGGGTGTTGAGGTCCTCCGCCCGACTGCGTCCCTGGGCCTCACGGAGGCGGAAATGTGTCTGGTAGTCGATGACGGACTTCAGGGCCTCGTGAATGGACACGCAGGCTGATTCCATCTGGGAATGGCGAACAGAAGGAAACCAAGACCATCATTAGATCTTTGGAATATAGCTGAAATGTTTGTCAAGACAGTTTTAACTTTGCAAACGTTCACAAACTAAAACGGGGCATGAGAGCAAAAAACTCTAAGGTTAAAACATTTGAGTTAATCTGATTCAACCGCCCACCCACAATCATCCCCTTTAGGATTTGGAATCAAGTATTAAAAGAAGCTGTTTTGATACAAGTGAAAGTAAACTATCCGAATGATATGTAAAAATGATCACTGTCGGCTCTAAATAAGCCCTGAATGACTCTCGTAAGGTAATTCTGCAGCATCATCATCATTGGGTCTAAGTCGTGGCCACATTGTTTGTCATGTTGTGGAGTAAGAAGCTCTTTGGCAAACTGGAGTGCAATGGATTCCTCTGTGGTGTCCAGCAATGGACACCTGGCTCCGTGCAGTCACGTGCAATGATTTGCATTTAGTGAACTCATAAACAACATGGTACCTAGCTCAAATAACCTTTGATCAGGTTCTGACTATATTTTAGGAGAAAATTAGACATAAATGCTGGTAATACAAAAGTTTAATGTACTCATCTTTTTCTTGCCAATCTAAATTGTCCCGCCCTAACACAAGCAATAAAGCCAACAGCAGAGTAAGTCAGATAAGGAAAAGTTTATCATCTTATCATGGACCAAAGGTTTTCTGTAAAATTTGTCTTGAAATTAGTCTCTGTTAGATAAAATATAACAACTTACATTCTGTCACTCACACGCAGACATGCAAAAACACACGCTTGTACGTCTACACACAAACGTATAGCTTACCTGAGTGAGAGCAGTAACTCTGTTCTCATTGGGAAAGAGTGGAGGGTCATCGCCGACCTGGAAATCAAAGTAAACCGTCTTGTGCGTAAAGGTGGAAAACTCATTGCTGAAGCAGAACTTGTAGGTGCCATTCTTCGATGCTGTGAAGGTAAAGCTGTCGTATTGCTTCTTCATCTCCTTGTAGAGCGTAGTGCCATCTGGGTCCTCCAAGCGACAGTCCACATCATAATGACCACCTGTCACTACCTGGGAATCCAAAGAACAGAGGACTGTTAATTCAGTAACACAATGGCATGACATCGATTTATTTTTCACACTCATTATTTATTGTGCCCAGTAGTAAAGTGACAAAGATTATGGGTGGACGATATAGACCAAACTGATGACTACCTGCATTTAACTACATGTTTGTGTTATATTTAAGAATAAACACTGAGGATGATGGAATAGTGACATGATTACATCACAAGACTATTTATGTACAGACTACTCACAGCTGAATATCCAAATGCAGCTCTTGTTGTGTTTATCACAGAAAAGTCACCACGTATTTGTCAATTGAACAACTGAGGATATGAAGCTGCTCATATTCCTGTGGTGTTAATCTTCGATCTGGATTGAAGAGGACTGGCTACACTCTGATAAACTTTTTGGAAATGTAAACGTCCCAGTCGGAGTATTTCTCAGACTGGAGGGTTCATTTTTTATGTCGAAAGAGGACTTCCGCACCTGAAACTCCAGTGTACACTTGGTGCCGATGATGATATCCTCGTAGAAACACTGCTTGGCGTTGTCTGGCAGCTCAAAAGTTAGCTCGGAGCCTAGCACCCACCCACAGAGCAGGTGGGCCCACAGCACCTGAAACAACACCCGAAACGATCCGTACATCCCGAAGACCGACAGCCAAGACCTTCAAAGAAAAACCTGCAGAAATAAACATTGGAGGACGAAAAAATAAAATCAATACAGACGGTGGCAAAAAGGATAATAGCGACAAAGCAAACCCGGACGTTGATATCAACGATAAGTTGTTAGCTTGAAGCTAACTAGCTAGCGAGCTGGCGTTTATATTTTAAAGACAGAAAGCAGCTTGGAATTTGTAACATTTTCTTATAGCTAGTGAGTTCGTGTATTGTTGTAACACTGGTGGTCCCTGGAGTAAAAGTAAATTCAAACATTTACATTTCTTAATTCATTATTTGGCATCAGTCAGAATTACCTACTCACCCCCAAAGTCCTCACCCGGATGCGCTAAGGCTTGGCGACGTATTACAAACGTGAAACGGTATTGGCTGTCTTCGGCGAAAGCCCGCCTTACACGCTCTCTCATTGGTCAACAGAAAATAGGCGTGGCGCTATGAGATCACATGGGCTACGTCCACATACCACAGACTGAATGTTAAAAAAAAGAAAAAGCCGCTTTTCATTTACAGTCTATGCCACATAGATGGAAGGAAGCGTGTCTTCCTCCTCCGTGGCTGTTTCTTCACATGTGAAAATGACGCTGTCTGAGGTAGATCACACAAGATTTTCCTTACAAGGCTGCCATATTGAAAACGTACTTGAACAAAATTACACAATGTAAAATGATCAACGAATTGGACTGTAGCAGAAGTCCAGAATCACCATCAGCATAATTTAATATAGATTCCAGTCATCACAAAATTTATGGACAGTGCTCAATGTCACGTCAGGACTAGTTCTTCTAAAATGTATGATATGCTGACGTGTAAACTGATGTTTCTAAACAATTTTTTTTAGATGTTTGTGATGGGATTCCATTGATTACCTGCTTCGATATTCAGCATTGTTTAAATCACTTACAACTAAAATAATTAGATTCAAAAAAATTCTGCTCACATGCATGTACCTTTCCCTGTAGTCACCACTCTGTGATCTTGAGCAATGCCTCGCCCACAATACTTAGTGATTGCTATAATATCACTAAGTAATAGCCTATCAACACTAAAAATATAAAAATTAAACAGTTTTCTTTTTAATTAAACTTTTTGCAAACATGAATAAACACATTTCAGATAAGTTTTGAGCAAGAGTTGTGTTATACAAAGTTTTGATACCAAGATTTTTACTCTAAATGTACATTAGTTCCAAGTATCTGGTATTGGTTGCCAGTTATTGATTACTAATAATTGATATCAGCTCTAAAAACAAACAAACAAACAAAAAAAGCACATGTCTGTGGTCACTTATTTATTTTATCTATTTATGTATATACGTTCGTGATCCTGCAAGGGAAAGTTGTCTGTTTGCATATTTCAGATTGTTCAGAAGCTGGAGTCAGGGTCGACCACACTACCACACCAGATAGGGTTAAGGGCCTTGCTCAAGGACCCAACAGTGGCAGCTTGCTGGTGCTGGGCCTTGAACCTCTGGCCCCAGCCCAAAGCCTTAACCACTGATCCACCACTACACTGTTTGACAAAGGGGCTCTGTCTTCATGTGTTTTGTAAAGTCTAATAAAGTGATACTTGAATACAGTCTATGTGTACCACTCTGAAGGTACTACAGGAAAAATATTCAACATGAACTCCTTCTGATTTCTTATATAAGGTGGGATGTTATTATCTTTATTTATTTTGTTTTAATGTATAGGAATAGACAATCTCTGTCCTTTCCTGGAAGTTCATTGTTTTTTTCAAGATCACTTTGTCCATAAAAGTAAGTTGAGGGCAGTTTTGCCCTTTGAACTTGTGGTCAGCTGTCTTCAGACCAACATCTATTTGCAATTAGAGGAACAGCATCTTTAGACATTTCCTATGGATGTGAACACACAGCCATTGTGGTTGACATGGATTCACATTTGCTGCCTTTGCGTAACTAATGCATAATGTCTTTGCCCTCAGTATATACATGATAATAAAATGTACTTCTCTCTGCTTTTATCTCTTGCTTTATGTGTATAGTGTAAATACCACAATAGATCTGTTTTCTGAGGTCTCTGATATGTAATCCACCACTACGTCGGGGTGTGTGACCGATGAAAAACATGTGGTTAACATATTATAACATTATTATTATAGTCATGACACGCCAGCCCCTGCATGATGCGCGCTCACTGCGTCTTCCTGACAGTTGTGAATACGCGGCTGACCCCAAAACAAAGTCTCGCGTGATCCAGCAGTGCGATAATACAGTACAGGGAGGGCTGCATGGAGAGCTGGAGAGACAAAACAAAAGCCACACATTTCAACTAACAGGCGCTGGTCGCTTTCTATTTTTTTTTTTTTTTGTAAACCAAATCAAATTTTACCCATTACTCATATCGATTTCAGTTACACGGCAATATTGTGAAAGTTTTGCATCATGCCCAGTAGCACGTCTTTGCTGGAGGCCGATGAGGGAGAGTCCGAGGTCCCACCGCCGCTAGTGCACGCTTTCGCCGGTATGGGCCTTGAGGAGCACCTCGGCACCCAGAGCCAGACCCCCGAACAAGCAGACGAGAGCCTCTCCTTTCATCACCACCAGCTCCCCTCGGTCTCCCATTTCAACATCCTCGGTACGGTCCTCGACTTGAAGCCCCTGCCGCTGCATCGGCCGCCCTCGGGAGATGAAGTGAACAAAACGGCAGCGCCCGAAGACGAAGAGCCAGAAGCTGTAGCCGCCGAGTCCTCTGGCTGCACCGCTGGCTCGTTGCTAGCGCAGGCCCACCGCCACCAACACCTCCCACCGGGGCCGGGTAGCTCCGTGATGCCGTCCGGAATGGAGCCGCCGCACGTCGAGACGGTGTTGCTGTACAACGGGGACGATCGGGATGATACGGGGGCTGGCGGCGGCGGCGGCGGCGCCTTACCACCGGCTAGCAGCATGGCGATGCTGCCGTCCGGCGTGTACGGGGAGCCGGGCTACGAGGCCGAACCTTCCCTGTTGACTCGGCGAAAGAGCGTCAACACAACCGAGTGTGTGGCCGTGCCCAGCTCCGAGCACGTCGCGGAGATCGTGGGCAGGCAGGGTGAGTCTCTTTCTTTCGGATGGTTCTGGTGGATTCATGGGCTAACGTTAAGTTGCTAACGGGAGTTTGGACGAAACTTCTTGGGATGATAAGTCAGGCAGGAGTAAGGCGAAATAAGATGAAAACAAGCTTAAAATCGTGGGAGTACAGTTACTCATTTGTATTATGTTGGATTTTACAGAACACAATAATGATAATTAAAACCGAATTGCCAATTATTGTCGTATATTTTGTCGCAATTGAGAACAACTGTTAGCTAACTAGTTAGTAACTTATTGTTGTCACCTCACGAGCCTTGATGCGCTATTTTACACAATTAGCTAATTTTTTTGTTAATTAAAACTTATGTTATGGGGTATCTAATTACCTCTATGTAGTTTAAAACGTTAGAAAATCTCATATAATTAAACCACACTGCCATTTAGCTGCTTCAGCTACAACAGTTGATGCTAGCTTGGAAGCTGCTAGCTTAGCACTCCTCCTAACTGGGTCAACGCCACCCTCGCCCAACACCCTCAAAGAAAAGTTTACATCACAAGTTTTTATCAACCAGCAGATCCCTCCGTGCCTCCTCGCTTTGACAGCCCTTCTGTATTATGGATGTTTTGTCTGTGCTTCGCTGACAGTGAGCCTATTCCCAGCCGTGCCTTGTCGTGCTAAACCAGGCTCGGCTTTGTCTCGGAGGGAAGAGCATAAAGAGCAGTGTGTTGGTCACCATTGCTTTGCCACATCAGCTGCAGGTTATAGTTAGCTCCGTGACACGAGCGAGACGTATGATTTCTGCTGAACACGTCTCGCCTTTCTTAGACATCAGACGCCTTTATCTGGTCTTTTACACAAACTTTTGCACAGATCGTTGGCAGTGTTGGCAGAGTGTTATTATGTCGTGTTTGAGAGCAGCAGATGGGGGAGGGTGCACAGGCTGCGATGTTGACAACAACAGGAAATGGCTCTGCTAATGATGTTGGACTCTCAACCACTGCTGAAAGGAATATTTAATTTATAAGCTATGCAACTTTTAAATGGCATTGATGACTGGAAACTTAAATGCGTTTGTCATTATCTTTTATTAGCTCAATTATAAGATACTGAGCTTTGAAGTTTAAGATACATGTAATGTGGTAAACCTTAAAACTGAAGCGGTGCACAATCTTAACTTTGTTCTGTCTGTCTGTCCTTTCTCTTTTTAACCGGACCCTGACAGGCTGCAAGATCAAGGCGCTTCGAGCTAAGACCAACACCTATATTAAGACGCCGGTGAGGGGTGAGCAGCCCGTCTTTGTTGTGACAGGACGCAAAGAAGATGTGGCCATGGCGAAGAGGGAGATCCTGTCTGCAGCCGAGCACTTCTCCCTCATCAGAGCCTCCCGGAACAAGACGGGCCCTCTCTCTGCTGCGACCGGTTTGGGGGCCCCGGCTTTACCTGGACAGACGACCATTCAGGTGAGCAAGTGTTTGATTATCAATCCTCATTCATTGACATTCTTATGCAGCGAATCAGTGACATTTGTTCAGTAAAAAGTGTCTGTTTTTACATTTAAAGAAGCGTGTATAGTTACCATATGTCATTTCTACTCTACAGGTCCGGGTACCATATCGTGTAGTGGGATTGGTCGTGGGTCCCAAAGGTGGGTCTTTATTCACATAAATGATGTGTGTTACTGTTAGATCATGGCGTCAAGAGATTGCATAAGATGCGAGCACAGGCGCAGAGAACGCTAGCAAATACATGTATGGACAGGACAGGTGTGTGCTGACACAGACCAAAAACAGCAAATTGAAATTGAAGGAAACTGTGGTTTTGTAGTGTCAGATCAAGTCTCATTTAGCCATCAGATTGATTCGGGTGTGGTTGACATCAAGCTCATTTTGTGTGGTAGAAATATGTTTTTTAATTTAGATAACATTTTTAGATTTCTTTCTTCACAATCTAGAGATATATACAATAAGGAAATGCATTCTAAATGTGTGTAAAACAAAGCTCAGCCCTTTAGTCTATGCCTAACAGTCTGTAGGTTCCTTGTGAGCCTGTAAAAGAAATTGTCTGATGGATACCCAAGCGAGTCTTACAGTTTCTGAGAGAGTCTTAATATTCACAGCTCTACTCCAGAAGGTTACGTTTTGCTCTTTAACCCTTTGCCCTGTTGACATTTACACCCCAGTGTCAGAAATCCCTGGGGTTGATTTGTAAATTGAACCTCGGCGGTTCTCAGCCTCGTGCCATTACAGCACTGCTGCGGGTGAGGCAGCAAGTGAAAATGACGACAGATTTTAAAATGGTGAAAAAAACTGTGTGCCACAAGAATTTCAGTACTTAATATTAGATGGATTGAAACAAGTGTTGTTACTTGCTAATTAATTGTAGCACATTCAGTTTGCGAATAGAATTTGTTTCTGTGCTTCTCTGGAAGACATCTTCTCTCTTTTTTTAGATGTATAAAGTATTGACATTTGAAAAGGTTACTACACTAGACTGGAACATAGAGTGTTGTGGTTAGGTGGTGCGCTTTTTGGCCACGTGAGTCACCAGGACAGCCTGCAGTTTCGTTCTGTAATTACTGCACAGCTGTGCGTCTTCCATTTTCGAAGTCAGATTTTATTATTGGAATGAAACTCGTCGTGTAATTACTGAAACTATAATGCTGTAGTTGTGACTGTGCTGTCTCTTAAGCTGCAGTGAATGAGTTGTAATGAAACACATTGATCTGTTAATGTTCTTTTTTTGGACTTTCTACCGTAAATGTATTCATAGATACAACTTGACTACTGTTTTGTTCTTGACACGCAGCTCTTTTTTTTCTCTGTTTGGCCATGCTTTTCAGAAATGGTCATGCATGCCATCTGCTAAACTAATTTTAATGATGCAGTCATGCGGCAGTGTGACCACAGCCGTTTTTAAAGCTTGGTATTCAACGGACAAATTTTTAAGTACCCGAGTTGGTCTGATTTATATTTCAGGGGCAACGATCAAACGCATTCAGCAGCAGACCCACACCTACATTGTGACGCCGAGCCGCGACAAAGAGCCGGTGTTCGAGGTCACGGGCATGCCGGAGAACGTGGACCGGGCGAGGGAGGAGATAGAGGCGCACATCGCCCTCCGCACTGGAACCTGCGGGGGCATTGAAGCTCCAGGTGTAGACAACAACGACTTTCAATTCAACGGCACGGATGTCAGCTTCGAGACCTCTGCCATGGCCGCTGGTTTGGGCGACGCCGGGTGGCTTCACGCAGGTGCATCATCGCCGGGTGGCGGTAACTTGCTGCCAATGGGCATCAACGGTACTCAGCGGGTCAATAGCAATATTAGCAGTGGTGTCAGGATGTCTTCCACCTACCGCAACGACAGCTCCAGCTCCCTGGGCAGCGGCTCCAGCTCAGCTGATTCTTTCTACAGCGCTGGGAACGGTAACCGAATGGCAGATTTCAGCCCAACCTGCGGGTTTAATGCCAATTCCAATAACAACAACAACAACAATAACAACAACAACAATAATGGCGGCAGCACTAGTTTCTGGTTTGGAGAGAGCCTTCTTCCTGTGGGGTCTGAGGAGCTGGTCAGCCTCGGAGGTGGCGGCGGTGGTGGCGGCGGCGGTGGCGGCGGCTCCTCCTCAGGATTCGACCCGTTAACCATTTCCACTGTCCATGCCTCACACCCTGCTGCACAGCCACACATCTGGAGCCCCTTTGTGGACCACCAGCCCCTCCAGGCCTTTGATGCCCTTCCGTCTCAGGTAGGTGAAATGCAATGGGAATCTGAAGGCCTCCTGTGCAGACAGTAAAGAACCGTCCTGCAGTTTAAAGTCGTTTATGCTTCATGTTTTACATTTTTACAGACAACGTGATGATATGAATTAGGAGCATGGCATTAAAATCGCAAAACTGTCATCACAAATATGGATACACCAATTAATTAACTCATGTACAATGGCAATCTTATTATTTTATTAAAATAAAGTATTACTTAAAATATGGTGAAGCATCAGCCACTGTAAGTCCATTTTAAATCCACGGTGAACACGTCCGTCTGTGTTACTATACATACATCTTGTGAGCTGCTTATTACATTGGCTCACAGTAATTTAATATCCTGACTGGGACTCGTGCACATCAGATAGCTGCTCAACACATTTCAATTTTAACAAGGAAGTTTGGTTCCTGGCAGTCACCATTTGTATCTACTGTAACTACCTTCAGGTTGCATTTAAGAAACACTTGTTTGAAACTGCAAGTGTAAAGGTGCTGTGTTTTTTTTAAATGGTTGTAACAATGTGATGGTTGTCATTGATATTTTCAGACCAGTCAACCTGGGACGCCCCGGCTCTCTCCAACCTTTCCGGGAACAGAAGCCTTGGAGCACCCTCAGGCCCAGCGTGTCCACCGAGGGCCTTTCGGCTCGGCTGGGAACCTCGACGCCCACAGGTTCCCCTCTTACAGCTCGGCCTTCTCCTCTTCCAGTGAAAGCACCGCCTCGTCATCCTCTCCTCCCGAATCCTCTCTCTCCTACCGACCGGGGCTTGGATCAGCAGGGAGAGGACAGGAGATATGCATCCACTGTATGGATAACCAGGTGATCGCTGCCTTGGTTCCTTGCGGCCATAACCTCTTCTGTCTAGATTGTGCCACCCAGATATGCCAGGGTCCAGAAGCCGTGTGCCCTGTGTGCCTGTCCCCGGCCACACAGGCCATTCAGCTCCGCAATATGTGATTTTAATCCATTTACTTTCATAGCTGATGAGGGATCAGCCTCCCCAACACTCGTTATGTTTGGGGAACTTACAAAACTGACCCCGAATCGATGTCTAGGTGTGACCTCACCCCAGCTTTGTCCAAGCTGGTGTTTGGTTGATAGAGGTGAGGAAGAGTAAGTGAATAAGGAATGATGTGTATTTAGGGCATGGGTTAGGGTGTTCAGCCCGTTCATGTGCCTGCTATTGTGAAGTCTTCTTCCTTGATTGATTGATTGATCAATGGGAGGGTTGAAAGCCCTCTATGTAGCATTGGGTGGGTTGGGATATATATATATATATTTTTTTTTTTTTGCTCATCGTGATCTTTGATTTACTTTTTTTTTTCTCCTTAAAACATTTAGTTACCAGTTTCTGGCTACCTATAATTTGAATTTCTTTTAAATCTACTTTGAATTCTATTTGAAACATAATGTTGGCTTTTGGGTCAAAGTTTATTTTGTCTACATCTCAAATGTTTTATCCATTTTTTTTTTAAATTTTATTTTGCTGCTACAGTTTTTTATGTGTTGAACTATGGCCCAGCCCCTTTGCCTCTCAATTATTGTGCTCGTGGCAGGAAAACTTGGAGGAAAAAAAAGGCGAGCACGTTTACATGTAGTGGGTCCACACATATGACTGTGTATAAATTAATAGTATTCTCCTGGTTACTACAAAATTTGAATGCTGCAGTTGACTCGATTTAATGTACACACGCTACATCATAACGTCAGGTTTCACTCGATCCCAGATGATTTCTGTAAACATGATCAGGCTATTGATTTGTGTCTGTGCTACTTTAAACGATACGATGTTTACATTCTCCAGATTATACTTCAGAATCTCGCAGACTCGGCTGACATTACCGCTGTATCGATAAGAATGCAAACACAGCCACGGCTGAGTTTTTAAACCAAGCAGGTCAAACCTGCAACTGCAAAGTTGTCACACTCCAATGGCAACCTGTTGTTGCCTCAGGTCTCTTTTCTTTCCCGTAATAGAACCAACAAGTGGCCAGCTCCTTTTTGTACCAGGACGCGACGCCGCTTGAGTTATCGCCACGTTGCTTTCCATTTATACTTAAAACAAAACTGTTTACGGTAAACTTGTGCCTAATTCCGTTCTGAGTAAACAAACAAAACAACTGGTTCAGCAGACACACAGTGTTGCTTTGTCTTCAAACAAACTTGTGGCCTTTTTTTTTTTGGAAAGCCTATATTTAACTGGCAACACTATCTACAAATCCAGATCTGGGCTTGAAAGAACACAAGCGTACAGACTGAAGTCTTAAATGTATTCGACGAAGTTCCGTCTCTGAAACGCGTCTCGGTGGAACAAAGGTTATATCACAGGGATGCTTTCTTTTGCTTCCTATTTCTTTTTGAGCCTTTCTTAAATATTTAGTACCTATTGCTTTATCTTATCCGCACCAAACACTCATTTAGTTTATTTCTGTTTTCATTTTTTTTTTTTCTTTTACTTTTTTGCCTTTTTGTTTATATCTCGATTGCATCTTTGTATGGGAAACAATGTGCCGGTTTTCAGACAGAAAGATATGCACAGCTTGTACTTTGGGTAACATTCCTCCTCCTCCTCCTCCTCCTCCTCCTCGGTATTGCAGTTACTTTCTCAGATGCTCATTACTTAAACCTCACCTGAGAGCTGATATGAAGACAGCTGTGATCTGGAACAAATCCCTGCTCTGTGCAGGCGGGTTGCTGATTTGCTTTCAACCATCTTAATAATCTTTTGACTTGAATGTTGAATCATTTGTACCGCTCCGCCCCGTCACACCTAGTCGGTAAAAATAATTCCACGGGGATGTAAAAAAAAAATTGAGATGAAGGCCATATCCGTTGCTTTACTCCCACATCGTTGTCTGCCAGGCCTATGCAAGAATCATCTCAGTATGTTCACCATTCAAGGAAGCACTATAAATTCAACTCCTCGGGTTTTAATTACAGAGCTCAGACAAAACTTGGGCTCCAACGTTGCTGACAGACATATCCCTTCTGTTTTTTTCTACTACGTTTCAGTCAGTGTTATCCTCCATTACCTGCTTTAACGCATCCACGAGATGCCTCAATGGTACACACTTGGCTCCTGTGTTTCATCTCATATGCTGTCGTCCTGTGCGCTACTCGAGCACAGCCTTACCCGTCTCGTATCACACTATTGACTAGCTGGGACAAGCACATTATGATTTATTTTTGTTAGTTTCCCCCCCCCCTCCTCTCCCCTCTCCCTTTGGTGCATGTTTGTTCCTGGAAAGCAGAGAAAAAGGTACAAATTGGTGGAAATCATCTCAAATCTTAGCTTTAAACACCAGTGTCTGGAGACTTTTTTTTTCAGGAGCGAATGAACTGAACATGTCGGAGGGGAAGCAGCTGGAACGGTTTCGTCTCGGACTGTGCTGACACTACAGAAGGTCAATGCTGTTGCTTTGTTGTGTGGACATTTTGGACTGCAGTCCCTCTAGCATTCCAGCTGTAAACAGTATTTGGGAGATATTACACCGCTTAGCTCTGTTTCTTAAATATTGTCTTTTTCATGGGTGATTGAGCTTTCTCTGAGGAAATGGAACCAAACGAGTCCCAAAAGTGCAAAAAAACCCATCTGCTTCTGTCCCCCCTCGGGTCTTCTATCCGTCCCATTATTTTACTTCTCTCAGCTCTACGAAGGGGTCGATTTCTTTTTATTTTTTATTTTTTTTTGCTCTTCTTTCTCTCTCCGAGGGAACGCAATACACTGTCGGCCCTCACTTTATTGACATGAATCTATTGACATTTTTGTGTATGTACTATATAATATTACTGTTAATGACTGATAAATATACAGAACTTATTTTTTATTTTGTTACATTTCATATATATACATAAATATATCTATATTAAAATGTTTACAATAAGATTTTTTTAATTTTAAATTTGTTTTTTTTTTTTTTTACTTTTCTCTTGAGTGATAAAGTGAATGAAGAGTTGGAAAACACAGAAACGTTGCAGGAGAGTGTCAGTGCTATCTGCTTGTAGTCTAGTTCATAGTTTACAGTATTGATGATAATAGTATTGATAGCTGCCGTTAGTGGAAAAATGGAATGTGCATCACGAGCATGTCTTCATAATTTTACCGCCAATGTAAAAGATCACTCTGCAAATGTAAAAAGGCCAAGGATTCAAGCTGCCTGTCATGTCTGTACACCACCAAATTAAGAACGGTATACTATTAAAATGTATCTTAGATTATCTATATATATATATAAATACATATATTGTTAAGCTGTACCAACAGTTCAAAGTATTTGCTAATTTTACTACACTTTTGTTATGTATATGTAGGGGGAGTCTTATGGCATATAAATTCTTCAAATTGAGTCAGGAGTTTAAAAGCAGACTATATTTTATAATGGCCTTTTAAGTTATTGCGGCCAAAGCACTGATATTATATATTTGCTGTAAAGAGAATTTAAGAGTTTTATTTTTCTGATATTAAAGTTACTTAATAAAGACGGTTTCATTTAAAGCCACGTCGGACTGCTGTCATTCATTGTTAAGATTTAATGCTCAAACTTGCCCCTTTGTTTGTTCTGCAGGATTCTTTCCAGGATGATCTTTAAGGTATCCTAAGTGCTCATTTCAGCAGAAGCCAACCAACACCATACTTGTGAATTATGAGCATGTAAAGAGCCCTGTAGCAAATTGTTAAGATTATTTGGATTCGTAACAAACACAGAAGTAAAAAGTATGGAGTAGTGAGAGTGCCATATTACAAAAGTAAATCAATAAAGGAATAAAAAAAATAAAAAAAGTGAAAATAGAAAAAAGAATAAATATAATCAGAATTAATGTCATATTATTTTTATTTTTTAATTTTATTTTTAATTTTTATTTTTTATAATTTTCATTTTTTAATTTAATTTTTAAGTGTTTATAATTTTTAATTTTTTAAAAATTTTATTTCTTAAGTAATTTTTTTATTCTTTTTTTTCATTCTTTTTTGCTTTTAAAGCAACTTTCAATTTAAAGCAACATTTAAAAGCAAAGGAAAGATGTGCATAAAAAGGTATATTTATTATTCTTTTTATTTCCACTTTTATTCTTTTACTGATTAATTTTTGTAATTTGGCACTCTCACTACTCCATAGAAAGAATGACCTCAGAAGAGAAGCGGTACGTTGGGCAAATGTTACAAAACACATGATTTTCTCGGCCATGCTTCTTAAATCCACGCCCGAGGGCTCCGGTGTGAAGATGGAAACTCCAGATTTGAAATCCCAATTTGGTTGTGACAGCTCTTTTTAAAAAAAAATATGGCAGATCACAGCAGTTTTCAGCGTGCTGGGTTAGGATTTAAATAAATTCCCCTCCTGACTGGGCCTCAGACGTATAAGATATACGCAGCTGTCATCTGGACAGACTGCGGTATGATGATATAATTAAAGCTGAACGGTGGAAAGTAGATCACTCTGTTTGACTGTAATCTGCAAGAGTCTGTTTTTTTTAAAAAAAGGCATTTCACACCCACTCATGTGCTTTCAGCTGAAGCTGACTAAACATCAGCTCGAGGTGAAGGTGCGTGGAGCTCTGCTGGAAATCGCAAAGTTACCGGTGTTCATGTTCAGAATATGGTTTCTCACTTACAACTTCTTCTGCTCTGTTCTGATCAGGTGGGTCAGTAAGGAACAACACACAATCCCAGCACCTTAAAACTGAACTTTGCTAATTCAGCCCTTACTGATATTATTTAAACTTATGATTTTCATACATGTGTGATCGAGTTCTGTAAAAAACATAAATGATGAAGGTGTAACTTTCCCTGCTTTAACATCTCCAACAGAGCAGTTAGGGGGAAACGTCAAACAGCCTGTCAATATAATTGAAATGACCTTTGCTATGCCTGTGTCGGGCATTTTACATATGGAATGAAATGTAAGCGTTTCAGACAGTGAGGGATTTTATGTTGTGGTTGTAATTCAACACTGTGAACCCTATGTGGTTTGAGTGTTCTTTTCTTGCTCCTTTCACATGTTTTACTCACTGTGGACTCAGTTTTTGTCTGTGAAGATTCCCAGTCATCCAGGTCATG